ATGGTTTATTTCGAGTCATTTTGAGTCATTGTGCGTCTCTGAGCGCAGAGCCAGACTCCTAAATCACAAGCTCACGCTAAACAAAGAGAAAGACACGCAGCATATGAGACTATGGTTACATATGAAAACTGAACAGAACATGGAGAAAAGGAGCTGCTGGGGCATTTGTTTCTGTATTTACCGGCATAAATGGTCCTCACAAAAGTGTCTGGAGATTTGATCTCAATGATGTCTGAAATGGGAGCCACATCCAGCTTGGCGGCCACTCGAGGAAGAAGATTCTAGAAATACAGAAACACCCACAATAATATTAGAAAAAAAAGGATGCATTTGAAGTTCTTGGACACGTTTAAAAGGAACACACAATTCTTTTTTTTCTTTTTTTTTTTTTTTTTTTTTTAAATATGCCAAGTTTACAGCTTCCCTGGAGTTAAAAAGATTACAGGTTAAGCCATTTTAGAAACCATTCAGATTTTCTCTGCTTTTGGCAGGAGCACTTTTAGCTTAGCTTAGCATGCATGCATGCATGAAGTGATCAGGAAGTGTTTGTGGAAAAACAGTTTGGCGAGGGAACGCAAAAAACCTTAATATATATATTTTTCTATCACTGATTTTTTCCACCCATTTTTTTCCCAGTAGCAAATTGTTCGTAATTTTTCCCAGTAGCGTAATTTTCCCAGTAGCAAATTGTGTACTATGACAGCCATTTTTTTTTTTAAGTTGCTATTATCTAGGCCAATATGGCTAGAAACTATACCCTCATTCTGATGTAATAAGTGTTTAAATCACCAGATAAGCAACTATTGATAGGCAAGTAGGCAACTAATTTTAATATTTAAAAATAAGAATATAAGTGCAGAAACACATAAAACATACATAAAATGTGTAATTTATTTATACATGTTACACATCACAAAATATAATTATACAAAAAATATGTAATGACTAATTAAAATTAATAATATATATATATATATATATATATATATATATATATATATATATATAT